GCCAGCTGGGTGTCTATGTTCAAGTAACCGTGAAGTTGTGTTTGAAGAATGATGGAGATTTCCATAAGCCAGATGCTTGAACGATTACATGGTGCCCAGCCTGCCCACACTACCCCTGTTAATTGGAATTTACATAAAGAAAATATAAATGTCTATGATATAAGGGCCCTGGAATGTGGGCAGGGAGGTGGGAGAGGTCTGCGATAGCAGTTAGCCTATCCTGACTTTTATGGCAAAGAAAAGCCCAGAGAAAGAGAAGATAAACCTTTCTGAACATCTTCTCTCCGACCTCCTCCTCTGCTTGCTTCTAATAACTAACCCAGGGCTGGGGAATGATGGGGAGACACATGTTGGGTTGTTGCACACTAGCATGTCCATATAACTTGGGAAACGAGAATGTTAAGACAGTGAAGACCACACATTCCTTAAGACAGAAAAACTATTCCAACCAGCAAATGTTTGTGGGGCACGTTCCCTAAAGCAGTCATTCTGCTAGGTGCTGGGAATACAAAAGGTGTGAAACTTCATCTCTTCCTTGGAATGGAAACAAAACAAATAAACAAAAAGGTACAGCCCTATTCCTTAACAAGTTTATGAACTACTTGGGGAAACATGAAAGATCATTGGTTAATCAAAGAGGACAAGCTTCACAGTCAGACAGACTGGGTTGAAATACCAGATATGTCACTTAGTAAATTTATGGAAAATTACATTATCACACTGTGCCTCAGTTTCCTCATCCTAGTAGCTGATAAACAGGGTTACGTTTTTTAACTTATTTTGAAATAATTTTAAACTTACAGAAGAGTCACCAGAATTCCCATCTACCCTTCCCCATCTTTTCCTAAAGTTAATGACTTAATATGGTTTGTTCTTATTTTACAGAATTGTTTTGACTACTCCAGTTCCTTCACTTTTCCAAATTTCAGAATCAGCTTGCAGATATATGCAAAGAAGCATATAATTGGGTATTGCTTTTTTATCCAATCTGACAATTTCTGTCTTTTAACTAGTGTTTAAAGTCTAAACACTGTGTTGCATAAAGTTTAGGCTATTCACGTGTAAAATGCATTAAAATCTACCATCTTATGAGCTGTTTTCTATTTGTTCTATCATTTGTCTCTTTTTTTTCTTTTGTTTTGCCTCTCGTAGGTTCATTGAATATTTCTTAGGATTCCATCTGATATTCTCTATAGACTTATTATTTTTTATTATTATTTATACCAGTTTTTTAAAAATGTTTAGTAGTTGCCCTAGGTTTGCAACATATATCTTTAATCAGAGTCTTCCTACAAATACATGACACCACTTTACTTGTAGTATAAGGAACCTATAACAATATAGCCCAGTGCATTGCAACCCTGCTCTACATGAGAATCACCAAAGGAGATGTGGAAAAAAATACCAATGCCTAAGCCCAACCTAAAATGAATTCAATCAGAATTTCTGGGAGGAGGTCTAGGCATCAGTATCTTTTCTCCAGAAGATTCTAGGTAAGCTCTAGGTTTGGCTACCAAACCCCTTGAGATCATGGGTTATCAATTGGTCCTTATGTGCAATGTGTAGGCTGGGGAAGGGTTTGATTATGTCTGTTATTAAAAAGCAAAGGACTGGGGCAGTGGATACACCTGGCAACAATACTAGTGACTTAGTATCTATTGTTCTCAAACATTTATGTCAAGTGCCCACCCCCTTCAGCCTTTTGTGATTTCTGCTTTACAACAGTGGTCCCCAACATTTTTGGTGCCACAGACCGTTTTCCTGGAAGACAATTTTTCCACGGATGGGAGCAGGGGAGGGGCAGATGGTTTGGGGGTGATTCAAACACATTACATTTATTGTACACTTTGTTTCTATTATTATTACATTGTAACATATAAAGAAATAATTACACGACTCACCATAGGTTGGGACCCTGCTTTAGATGACACTGGGGATTTTGTAAAACAAAACAAAAACAAAAAACACACGTTTAATGAAAGAGGATAGAAGAAACCAGAAACCAGCTTCTTAGAGGTTTAATATGAGATGGCCTACTCCAATCAATCAAGGAGGTATTAGACAGAATAAATCACTTCTTCACTCTGAAACTCTTCATTTTTTATAAATGCTAGTGTTAACAATTTGAGTGTTTGAATGTGATTTAAGACCATGAATTATTGTTTCTGAGAACAAAATACCGGTGAAATCACTAACGCTAAATCTGCCATCGTCCATAGAGCAGCTTGCGATAGCATGGGTCCTAAAATAACTGCAAAGTTTGAGAGATTTGGCCTTTGTTGGAACACTAAGAAAAGGCTGCTTTTAAAAAAATACCAAGCTTTTCACAGAAATGAATGATCGAAAGCAAAATGTATGGCAATTTAACTCTTTTATTTTAAAGGTTAGAAAACTGAGGCTCATTGAGGTGTCTGTTCAAGTTCACACAACTAGTTAAGACTGTACAGCCCAAGGACTCCAATCTCATAATTCTCTATTCTATAATGTTTCAATGCCATTGCCAAACCTTTAACATTATTAGAACAAGTATTCTGGATAACACCAACAGCAGAGAATACAGTGGGAAAAAGGCAACCTCAAATAAAATGTGAATATGGGTTTGGTTCATTTCAAGTCAGTCCTCAAATTGTTCTTACCAGAAACTGTAAAAATACCTATACCCAAGTATAAGAGGAAAAATACGGTTGTATTTTCAGTCCAACCCAAGTAGGCATTCTGCGTTGATTGACTATCCCAAGTGGTCAGTAAAGGTAGTTTCTAGGAGAATTCATTTCTATAGTCTAGTTCAAACACTACAAAAAGCATAACTATGATTGGCTAGCATTATGTGTAATTGTAATAGAAAACTGAAATGTTTAGTTCTCTCTCTTGTGAAAATTTGAAGATAGTAGCCCCCCTAGAGTGGTATAAAACTCCATGACGTCAGGGACTCAGGCTCTTTCTACCTTTTTACTATGAGCATTGCTTTCATTCCCAGGGTCACTTCATGGTCTGAGATGGCTGCCCCAGGTCCTGCCATCACATCCACATTCCGGCCAGCAAAAAGGAGGAAAGGGCACACCCCTAAGGTTGCATACACTTTTTCTATTTTAGAACAATAACCAGAATTCTGTCATATGTCCATCCTAGTTGCAAAGAAGAATGAAAATGTAGTTTTGACTCCATATGGCCCACCTAAAAATTGGGAGTGCATTTATTACATAAGGGAAAATAGATACTGTGTTAGAAGCAAATCATTGGCCCTACTATGACTTGCAAGAGAATCTTCTGTTATATATAAATGAAAACCAACATTATCAATTGTGTAGAAAAGCAAGATTTGGGGGTTTTTTAATGGCCATGCTAAGAGTTAATAGTTTTGGGACAAAATGGTATAAATTGCTTAGTGAGATTTCCCCCCCCCCCCGGGCTCCCTGAATTGTGACCGACACACTAGCAAAACAAAAAGTGGTAGGTACCATTAAAGAAAAAAATTATTCAATGACACTTGTTAAAGCATGGTAAGGAAGACTTTATTTAGGACTATTGCAATAGGTATAGGGGTCATTGCGAGGGAGTCTCACAGCAGGGGAGAGAGAGTGGGCTCAACTCCAAATACAGCATGGGCAAGTGAGAATTTATAGCCCAGGAACAGGGTGAGGTTAGTGGATGAAAATTACTAACAGGAAACATCAGGGGTAAAGGGGATTCTGGCTAAACTGACCTCACGAGATTCTTGCTGAAGATGGGCCAGGGTGACCGGGGGTGACCGGACAACTGGGGGATGGGGAGGATGAGGAACCTCATCAGATGCTGAGGGTGATCAGCTAGCGAGCTCGGGGAGGGGATTCTTGCTAAACTGACTTAGCAGGAATTTTTTGTTAAAACTGGATTTTCCAAGATGGGCCTAGGATAAGGTTCTGACTAAAGTTTGGCCAAGCAACAAATCTTCATCATAACCCACATGGTTTTTTCTGAGAAAATGCCTGTCTTGAATATAGTCACCGAGAGGCATCATTTCAGCAAAAAGTGTCCTACTACATTAGTATATTAGTTTCCTATGACTGCTATACCAAATCATCACAAACGGGGTGGTTTAACACAATGAAAATTTATTCTGTCATAATTCTGGAGGATGAAAATTTGAAATGGGTATTCGTGGGCCAAAATCAAGACATCAGTAGGGTCATGCTCCCCTGGATGTTCTGTGAGATAATCCATTTCTTTCTTCTTCTAGCTTTTGGTGGCTGCTGGCATCCCTTGGCTAGAGACTGCATCATACCAATCTCTGCTTCCATCTTCACGCCACCTTTTCTTCTGCTTGTCCATCAAATCTTTCTTTGCCTCTCATATAAGGATGCTTGTGGCTGCATTTAGGGCCCACCCAGATAATCTAGGATAATCTCTTCATCGCAAGATCCTTAATTTAATCAAATCTACAAAGACCCTTTTACCTTATATGATACATTTACAGGTTCCAGGGAGTAGGATCTGATGTCTTTGGGTGGCCATTACTTAGTTGTCTACACTCACCAATAAGAAAACATGAGGATAATTAAAGTAAAAGGAAGAAATCGCCTTTTGGTGGGAGCATCGCTTGTTAGAAATCATTCTCTGCCTTTCGTCTGTGTCATCAGGGAGGGGAAATCTTCATCCCCTCTTGGAAATCAAGAGAGACAGGTCCCAAGAGAATCATTCATTGTGTACTTGGGGTGCCTACCAGCAGGGGAATTCGGATTCCACTCCCTGGTTAAATGTCTATGTTAGCGAGTAGACCTGCTCACCTGCCCCTATGATCCAGGCAGAGGGGGGTTGAATTAAAGAGACAAGGCACGATGGAGGGTGGCCAGACTGAGAGGGGCAGCTCATTTTTTTTTTTCAATGTGCAACTCTCAAAATTCCAGTTCCCAAGAAGTACAGGAAAGGGTCCCACACACCCCTGCAAGTCTGCGAGTATGGGGCCTGTATTCGGACTGGGGATTACTGCAACAGGGGTCAAAGAGGCAGATGTATTCAAGAAGTGGGGAATGATACAGCCAGAGGACATTTATTTGGAGTCAAATCTTGCAACATATTCCCAACATCTGGGGAAACTCAGCACTGAGCTGCCATCAGAGGAGCATGTTGGAGCCACCACTTGAGCCTTTAGACAGGAACAGTTTGGACCACCCCTGAGAGCTAAGTCAAGACAAGTCAAAGAAGGAGCTAGCTCTTCCTTGTTCCTTTTTCTTCCCCAGCTCAGCATCAGAGGAACCTGTGCATGAGGTAGGCACAGGGCAGGTTGTGTGAAAGCAGGTCATGCCACCTCCAACACCAGCCACTGGAACCCACTCGACTAGCCAGTGCTGGGGGAGGGGAAGGGAAGACAAGAGCTTTGGACCTGAAAAAAAGGTTAAATTTTTTAAATAAACAGGGCTGAGTCTTAAAAACTGAAGGTAACTTTTCATGACTGAAAATGACAGAAAGCTAAGGAATCAGGCCAAAGTGTTAAGAGCCCCTGCCACCCAGGGGCAGGGGACTTCCTTAGAACAGAGTTGAAAGCAGTGATTGGGGAAAAAAACCAAAGTGTTCTGTGTTTTCACCCCCAACTGAATCGAGACTCCTCCCTCAATAAACCAATTTGTCCTTTAGTCAAAATTCACATCAGGGAATCAGCCTGTGCAAATCTGAGTGGACTCTGGTCTATTCCTTCTTTTCTCCCAATGGAAGCAGGAATACCATTATATTAAGCAAGCAATTCCCAAGAGTTCTAAGTATCACCTATATGACCTTCACCATACTGTTATACCATTCATACTGGTTTATCTTTGAGTTTACTCACTTTTAAAATTAACCATCTTTTTAAAAGAAATTGTGACTCCATCACAACTGGAAAAGCAGTACAGTCATCTTCCCTTAGCCACAGGAATGTGTTCCAAGACCCCCAGAGGATGCCTGGAACTGTGGATATAGTACCATACCGTATATACACTATGTCTTTTCCTGTACATACATTCCTATGATGAAGTGTAATTTACAAATTAGGCATAGCAAGAGATTAACAACAGTAACAATAATAAAATACAACAATCCTAACAATAAATATACTGTAATAAATGTTATGTGAATGAGGTCTCTCTTTTCTCTCTCTCTCTCTCTCTCTCTCTCTCTCTCTCTCTCTCTCTCTCTCTCAGAATACTTTATTGCACTGTATTCACCCTTCTGCTTGCGATGATGTGAGATGGTCGGTCACCAAGAGGACAGAATTCTAAGTGACTCATGGGCAGGGAGCGTAGACAGCGTGGAGACGCTGGACAAAGGACAGATTCATGTCCTGGGCTAAAAGGAGCAGGATGGCACAGAGCACATCATGCTAATCAGAATGGCATACAATTTAAAACTGATGAATTGTTTATTTCTGGAATTTTCTATTTAATATTTTCAGAGCATGGCTGACTGCAGGTAGCTGAAACCTCAGGCAGTGCAACCTCGGATAAGGAGGAACTACTGTAGCAATTGCCATAAATAAGCACAGGAAAGACGACACTCCCAAATGTCATCTAGACACTGCGACCTGAGACTGAGCTTTGATCTTTGTTAGAAAGGGTGTGGGGTACCAAAGACATATTGGGATCAAACGTAGACTTTCTCCCTGATGCAGTTGAAAGAATTGAAAGAATTGCAAAGGGAATAACTTAATTCAAAGTTAGTTAATGCTGGGATTGAGCAATAACATGAAATGCCAAAACCTCAAATGAGAGGAAGGATGTTTTGGGGTATAGTGACACTGCTAGTGCCTACCTGCCTCCAACATGTTGCTAAGCAGCTTTTACAACTACTTGGGAACTTACTTTGGCAGGTGATGTGTTAAGTCTTAGAATCTTGGAGTATGGAATACTACAAATATATATTAAATGCTCTGTCAGTTAGAACTCTTTCATTTCGACAGCAAAGAATTTATCACTCTTATAAACTGATGGGCTCAGAGGCATAGCTCACTTCAACCAGAGTTGTATTTTTGGGATAAAATAATGTCTCCGGATGTGTTCTCTGTCTCTCTTTCTCTCACATGTTGGACACATGCTTTCCACAGGGAGCCAGACAGCCACCAACAGCCCAGAACTCATATCCCAGCAGAAAAAGTCGATACCAATCGCTCTAGCAGCTAAGTCCCATAGAGGATGCTGAGAGGGACCCACACCCACCTTGAATCAACCTCTGTAGCCAACTGGCTGGGAGTATTGTCTCACAGCACATTTCGCCTTCCTTCCTGTCATAGTAGAGTAGTAGGAAACAAGAGGGACCTGGGAAGGAGGGAAGATGGAGACGGTATCACCCACAGGAAATGGGATGAGCTTCCCAAAAGAAGAAAAGGATAAAGGTATTAGGAAGACAAAAACAACAGGTTTTCACAGCAAACGCCTTCTCTGTGCCAGCCGTAGTCAGTGTGAGAAAAACTGAAAAGTTATTTAATAATATATTTAAAAATACAAAGAGTAAGTGTGTGTTGAATGGCCCTGTTGCCAGGGCAGCAGACACCACCGATGATCCCCCTGCCCACGTCTCCTCAGTCCTGGCTACTTCATGCCAGTCCCAACTTCCAACAGCGCACACACCTGGGCCTAGTGCTTAGCGCTTCCTCTGACCACACTGAAGCCCACTTAGCTGCTTATGGGGCAGGTCAGAAGGCCAGGGAATTGGCCACCCAAGGCCCCTAGCAGCCCTTACACAAGTCCTGCTGGTAGGTGATGAGTAAATACCCCAGCTCCTCACCCCCACCTCAGGTAGGATAGCTGCGGTGTTCTCTACTGTCTCCCAGAGTTTCCCTGTGGGATTCAGCGCCAGTTGCCCATAGTGGAAACTTGCTTGACAGCAAGCACCCCGTTTGGGGCTTCTTTCTCTTTTCTGTCTGACTTCTGTGTCCCCCTACTGGTGTTCGTTTAGAATCACCTCCTAAATAAACTACTTGTACTTACTTGGGTCCTTGTCTCATCATCAACTCAAACTATGGCAGCCAAACACCCACTGTAAACTATTCACACATGTCACCTCTTGTCCTTCTCACAACAGTCATGCGAATGAGGCCCTTGGTAAAGGTCCCGCAGCTGGGAAACAGCAGAGCTAAGATTCAAAGCAGGTTGACTCCAACACACACTTAATGGCTGTTCTGTGTTACCTGACACTTTATTTACACTACCCCTATAGACACCCAGCTTCCTGCGATTCTCTTGAAAGCAGGTAAAAGCCCAGAGGACCACTGAAAGGGTTGTAAACGAACTAGAGAAAGTACTGTTGTCCTGTAGAATATGAGAGGAAATGGGAGTTAAATAGCCTTGCACGTGGTAGGTGTGCATTAATATTGGTTGAAATAACGTGGCAGTTTTTAATGTGCAGGAAGTCAGTGGTGTTATTCTTTTAGCCATCCTTGAAAAAGAGAAGCTGCCCTTTCTGAGGGATAACTTTCCAGTGTAAAATTTTCTTAAACTCAAGGCGAATGACAATCTCCTTGGATTATGGTAAAGTAATCATCTCCAGGGTAAAATAAAAATTGGACTCAACTGTGCTCTATTTCTTGTGGGAAGAATAATGCATGTTGATCTCTCAGGAAAAAAACATGACTATAAAAGATACATGTTCTCATTTATCTAGGACAGCTTAGGTACAGGTTTGCCTAAGAGGAAAGACATAAACAAACTCTCATTTACCTTTCCCATTTTATATGTCCATGATTACATATGAAAATCATTTTCTCATTATTTTGGGTAGCATATGCATAAGAGAGTGATCATGCATAACGAAAGTCACTGAAATAATAGTTTTGCTGCCTATTTCCTGATGTAGTGGAATGTGCACTAAGTCAGGAGTCAGAAAACCGAGTTGTGTAAGCTAATACTTATCTTCTTTGGGCTCCACTAGCCTTTTCTGCAAGATGAGAATTTTTACTTAGTGATCTCTGGCATCTTCCTGCCCCTAAATTTTCTGACAGACAAGTGAAAACATTTGCTTACTTCCAGCCTTGTTTAAAAAGTGAATTAAGGAAGCTAGAAGCATCACTTGTTCTACCTTGTTTATCTTATGTAACCATCCACTCTGCATGTTATAAATGACACACAGAAGAAGTCTGTCCATGCCCAGACCACCACCAAAGTTTCTGTCTAGGCTGTGCTCTCACCATGGGAAATACTTCCTATATTTACTTCTTGACCTCAATGTTTTTCTTTCATCTAAGGTTGCCCATGGGTATAAACTTCAGTGGACACCTAATGTTACATAACCAGAAATTGCTTTCACAACACATTTTCATACCATTGGGCAATTTGGATTTTGTTTAAAAACATAACGAACACTGAGTAATTGTTTGCAGACAAGGAAATGGAAGCATTCAAGGAGAAACCTTATCGAGACAGCTTATATTTGATTTAATTAGGTCATAGATTGAATATATCTGAGGGTGTCAAGAACCACTCTCACCTCCATTTTCTAAGCTGACTTGCTCAAATATTCTAAAGAAATAATTAATGTGGTCTAAATTTAATCTAAGTTTCTAGTAGTGTTCTTAAAATACTTTAAATTATTAAGTAGACCCAAATGATATTATCTATATTTCACCATTTTTTAGTTATAAAAATTGCAATTTCATGTCATTCACCCTAATAATTTAAAGTATTTGAGTATATTACAGGCAGACATCCAGAAAGACAAAGAACTGAAAAATGACTAGAGTGGAGATTGAAGTTCCTTAGAAACACTAGGTAGGGTACCATTAAAGAATGGTTTTCGGCTGGGTATGGTGGCTCACACCTGTAATCCTACCACTGTGGGAGGCCGAGGCCGGCGAGTAGCTCAAGGTCAGGAGTTCAATACCAGGCTGAGCAAGAGTGAGACCCCATCTCTACTAAAAATAGAAATAAATTAATTGGCCAACTAAAAATATATAGAAAAAAAATAGCCAGGCATGGTGGCACATGCCTGTAGTCCCAGCTACTTGGGAGGCTGAGGCAGAAGGATTGCTTGAGCCCAGGAGTTTAAGGTTGCTGTGAGCTAGGCTGACGCATGGCACTCTAGCCCGGGCAACAGAGTAAGACATTGTCACCAAAAAAAAAAAAAAAAAAAAAGAAGAATGGTTTTCATTGGTAACTTGTAGAAACCCCAGTTTTTAAAACTGATTTATGTGTAGCAGTTTGTGAATCATAGATGCATCTATTAAGAGCTTCATTTCAGAAATTCATTAATTGTTCAAACTCTAGACTCTATTTTTTAGGTTGAAAAAATATCATCAGGATAGATGAACAGAGTATGTGTTTTTTTGCTTTGTGTTCAATGGTGAAGCCACTTGTAAACAGGGAATGCATTCGGTGGAGATTATCAAACCTTTAGGGTGAGCATCCTCCCTAATGTATTGTTGTGGCAATTGATTGGCAGTGAAAAAATAGGTAAAATGTCCTTCTTAAACTATGGGGACAGGTTACCTAGTAACCACAGAATGATTAAGTTCTGTTCATGCACACTTGTTCTCTTAATTGGACGAAAAGATTTAAAGAGCACAGCTGGGGGAAAGTGGCAAGATGAAGGATTGTGGCAGTTATTAGTGGACCTAACATCTGTAATCTCAGCTGCCTTAGCCAAAGGGTCACAATAGGAGTGAATCTTCCATTAGTAAAAAGAAGCTAGCAAAGCTACCTCCAGAATCACAATTTTGTGTACTTTTCAACTGTAGGAAAAATGAAAATAAAGTATGGAATTAAGCATATTAAAAAGTGCAACAAAAACCCTCTGTGGTTTTACAGTTCTTAGAATAATCATTTTCTATGGACAAGATTATATTTGTGTTCAGATATCAGAGTTCTATTCTTTAAAAGAACTCAAAATGGTCACGGGGGTCAGTATATCCCATTATTACTCTCTTTTTCCTCTCTGTAATACCATTAGGCGTTTATTGCCTTATAGAGAATTATGGTTATTCCTGGACTCTTCTGCTTTTAACAATAAAATTAAGAAAAATCAATGCATAGGTTGGTAATGATGACTTTTTAAAATTCATTATAGACCTTTAGATGATAGAGTAATTTTTTCCTCTGTTCAAAAGAGAACTCAATGTGTATGTACATGTGTGTGTGTATATATATTTATTTATTATATATATAAACTGGAGAATCTCTACCTTGGAGTCACTGTTTAAAATGATTGTCAGTTGCACCTTTCAGTCCTTGAAAAAGACTAGTAGGTAAATACTACCTTGGCACAGCTGTGTTCCTCACAGGAATGGCACTTAAAACTTTCCTAAAGCCCCCTCTAGTGACAAACAGCAAATTAATCCATTACTAATACTAGCAAGCTCTGAAGTTTTATTTTCTCATTCAGTTATTAGATGAATCAATAGCTTACAGTATTTTGATTGGAGAATGGCTGAGAAATAGTCAATAGCTCAAATCCCAAAGCATTGTTCAGTCACCACAACCTAAGGGATTTGTCTGAGCCTGAGATCAACACAAAGGACACACACACCACTGACTTCTATTTATTTGACTCTGCCCTAGTACATATATATTTTTAAAATTCCCTAAATTTCCTTCATTTTTTTTCCTTCAGGGACTTTAAGGAATAAAATATGCTCATATTAACTCAAGAAATAGAAAAGAGTTGTCTTGACCTTTTTGTTTCTCATTGCTTTTACTGAATTTATTAGATCTTTTTCCAAATAGACAAACATAAATTCCAGGAATCCTCTGAATTGTGAAACTAATAGTCATCTATAAAGATTATATTAAATGTATAATAATATGTTTAGCATCCCATATGATTTTTTAAAACAATAAAAATAATAATGTATCATAAAGTACAATAAATAATAAACTATGTACTATTTGTATCAGACTATATGTTATGGTATGTATAATATATAGTTTCTTTTATTTATGTCCTCATTTCCAAAGAGCTTAGAGCTTATCCCACCAAAACAGAGGTCTAATTGAACCTTTGAAATAAAAGAAGTAGAAAAGCCAAGTTCCTAATAAAGAGAATTAAAGAGATAAATAGAAAAATAGGCTATGAATAATTATCACAACTCAGCACAAATCTTAGTTTTGAGCTTCCTGTCAGCTAAGACAAAAAGGGAGATCCAATAATTGGCTTACACATGCCAGGGAAGACAAAGCTTTTCTTTCTAAAATACAGATATATAGATTCTTAAATGTCAATAACAAAAACACAGCATTGGCATAATTTCTGAACATGAAATTCATGTTTATATATTCAACAAAAGGTCTTCAGAATGCCTACTCTCCAAGGCCATTGCAGCTGGTGATGATTCCACCAATGAAAGGGTGTTCTTGGGAGCTGACTCTATAATAAGCTTATACCAGCTGTGCGCACCTGCCCATGATCATGGGTTATTCCATGGAAATAGCAACCAGAAAGGATCTTCTCTCTTTCACATACATAAAGTAAAAACAAAGGACAAATTAGATACACTTAGGGTAATGTGTTTGCTGCTAAAATTGGAGAGAAATAGACTCTATGTTCCTTTGGAATGTGCACACATTCTTGAAAGAATTGGAATAAAATGCTTAAAAGAGAAATAATGAAATCAAGATGGCTTCATTCTGCTGTGCTCTCATTCATGGGGTCCCTTTCCTACTTCGAAGCAAAATCTACTTGTCATCCTAAAATCTACTTTTCTTTTTTTCTATATTTCTTTCTTTCTTTTTTTACAGACAGGGTTTCACTCTTTCACCCAGGCTAGAGTGCAGTGGTGTGATCATAACTCACTGCAGCCTCAAACTCCCAAGTTAGTGATGCTCCTGCCTCAGACTCTCAAGTAGCTGGGACTACAAGTACTTGTCACCTTGTGGCTCACCTTACTTAGGTGTGAGCCACCGTGCCTGGCCTCTAAAATCTACTTTTATAAGAGGAGCTGGCGTTACCTTTGTGTGAATCAATTCACCGCGTTGTTTCTCCCAGGGGTGTTGCCCTTTAAGCTTTAGTTCTAATTCAATTTAACAAATGCTTACTAGAGGCCTATCATATGCAAAGTATTTTCTAGCTGCTAATAGCAGGAATAAAAAGCTTCATGAACTTAGAAATGGATTTCAAGCAATCCACAGTAGGTAGGAAAGAGTTTTTGTTCTGTGGGTAACATCTGACTCTCTGTCCCTGTATTCTTCTAAATGACTTTTGTTGTTGGGACCACAGAGCCATCACACGTACACTTCCACATTCCTCAGATTTTGAATCTAGTTTTCTCCCTGGCCTAGGTCTTAGGGAACCAGGGGTTAGGGTGTTACTATAATTGAGTTTCTGGTTTATTCCCCTGTCCTTGTTATAGGGTTTCTGACTTAACTTCCTCCAGCCTGAATTCCCTGATACCCTAGCTCTTCTGAGACAAGTCTTAGAAGAGAAAGAGCTAACATTTGATGAATACTTCCTTTTACTTGCCAGGCACTGTACATATTAATCCTTATAACTACAAAGTTAGTAGCATCATTTTTTGTCATCCTAAGTAACAGGGAAGGAGATTCTCTAAAAGGAAATGATACTTATTTTGGAATGTGCCCATTCCAAAATACAATGGGAACACAATACAATGGGAACACTCATGCCATAGTAAACTATGAGTGTATTTATGGAAGTAAAGGAAAATGAAGTTGTTTTTTTTGTTTTGTTTTGTTTTTTTAATAAAGAGAATTCCCGAATTGTTTAGAGATAATTATCCTTGACTACATGGATCAATAACAAGGGTGTGTCACTTCAAGGTTGGACAGGCAGTTGCTGGGGAGATGTCCTTACAGAAGTATTTTTGTGTGTGTAAGGTTGACATGGCTTCTGTGTCAAACTGATTATTAAGGTTAAGAATTAAGATGTAAACATGTAGATGTTTTTCATTGCCAGGATTTCCACTAACCCAAAACTTCACAGACTGCTTTGAAATCTTAATTATTTGGAACTGGTTAAATGTTACGCTGACCTCAACTAACATTTGTGCTTGACTTTTTTCCGGGACGCACGGGATGTGAATGCCAGACGAGACCACCTCCTCTGCCCGCTCTTCCCGCAGGGACAAAGCCTGCCAGGTGCTGGTGGCGGGGCTCCTGACTGGACGCCGCTCTACGGACGACTGGCAGGATCCCAGAGCAATAGACTGACTCTCCGGACACTTTCCCCACCCAGTCCCTCCATCCGCAACTGCTCTCCTCTCGCATCTGGGTACCCCGGGGGCGGGGCTGCGGGAGCGCACGTCCTCTGCGCCATGACGTCACAATCCCGGCGCCGTGAGACAGGCCCTTAGCAACCGGCCTGGCGACGGTCTCCGGGGGCCGCTGCCGCCCACCGCCTGCTCCTCGCCAATCTGCAGCTGCAGGGGCTGGGGCGGCCAAGGGAAGGACGGAAGGGGACCCAGTGTGTCCCTACGTCGGCTGCAGGAAGATTAAGCATGGATGGCAGCCGGAGAGGTAAAAGGCAGCTCTCGCGGCGGCTTGCGCTCCAGGCCTCGGGTCCGGGCAGCCTGGGTCGAGGCCGCGGCCGGAGCGCTCCAGGGGGGGCCCTGCTTCGTCTCTAGTGTTACCCCAGTTGTTGTCCCGAGCTGCCCAAGGCCTGCGCACTGGAAGAGGCCCTGCTTGCCAGGCTGGCAGGCCTGCTTCTTTGCCCTGAACTTGCCTCCCTGGCACCGGGAGGCCCAGTCTTCTGAACTTTGGGGTCGTGCACCCTTTCTTGTCCTGGTAGCTCTGAGGCACAGGAACCAGGTTTAGTCTTGGGAGTCAGACCACTCTTGGCCCAAGTACAAACCCCGCTGCTCTCAATAGAGACGACCTTCAGTTTCCTCATCTCTTGAAAGTGAGGGTCAAATACCCATGCCATACAGTTCTTGAGGATTAAATGCAGATAATACGTAGCAGGCACATTATAAATACTCAGTAAATAGGAAATTCCTCATCTAGTAGCTAATTCTCTCTAAAACTACTGACTAACCAGTGCTTCTGTACCTTTACGTGGTGTGAGTGGGAAGCGCCTTGGAATCATGTTAAGATGCAGATTATGATTCAATAGGTCTGTTGGTGAGGGTAGGGGCTGAGATTTTGCATTTCTAGTTAGTTAGTTTCCAGTTGGTGTGGTGGTGGTGATCAGCAGACTAGTTTTAGCAACAAAGGACTAATCCATAATCACTGTGTACACCTGTTCTTGATTGAATATTGAGTCAGGTGGCCATCATGGTGGGGCCGTATAATCTTAAATCTCTACAAATCGGCCCAATCCAAATAGTTTATTTTCATACTTTCTGAGCAAGTATTAATATCATTCTTTTCTCATGTTAAATAAGGCAGTCTTTAGACTCCCTCTCCCGAGTCAGTGTTCTTAATCTATTTAAAAGAGTATCTTTAAATCAAGCTGCTAGATGATTCCTTGAAGTAAGTCTTGCGTTGAATAGGAATGTGTCTTTATTATGTAATCATTGATCAAAATAAGTGCTGTTCTCAATGTAGGAGATAACTATCCATTGATCAGCAAACCATTATGTTCTGACACTTTACCAATGTAAGTTTTAGAGAAAGCAGACTAAAACGCTTTTATGTTCTTAGAATTTTTACACATAACCTAACATTAAGCCCTTGCTTTGTACCAGGAACTATTTCCAAATTATCTTATTTAATGTACAGAAACATCTTGTTAAATGAGTATTATCCTTATTTCACAGTAAATTAAAACAAAGATCATAAATAACTTGTCAAGGACACAGCAGCAGAACAGGCTTTGAATCCAGGTAGGGAAGGTAAAACCCAAAGTCAGTTTATTTACTTAGTATCCCATGGGAAAGAAGGGCATAGAAAAAGGATATTTGTAAAATTTAAAGCATAGACTTAGTTCTTAGCATTTGTTTATTGAGTTATTTTTAAAATTAGGTTCATGACAAATGTAAAAAGGTTTATATTTTTATAACTTACTCAATTTAATTAGCTTCATTTTTAGGATATATTATCAACTTAAAATTTTTTAAATAAATGTAATAGTCAACAAATATCTCGGGGCGGGTAGTTCTCATATGACATCAATTGTTAATAAGAAACCATAAATTTTAGCCAAAGCTAAAATAATTTTAATTGAAAATAAATTTCTTAGATTTCATTAGGAGGTTACTTTTGGTTTTTTCAGAGCATAAAATATTACAACAAAGAAAAAATTTTCTTTTGTCATTTTCTTACTTTAATCACATTTTAGACATTCTTTTGTAAGGCAAACCTTCTGAATGGTGGTATAGTAGAAAGAGCACCAGCCTGAAAAATACTGGCTTATTTGTAATCTTTGTTTGCTATTAACTAGGTAATCTTCAGCAAGTCCTTTTACCTCCCTGGGTTTTAGTAATTTGTGAAATGGAGGCTTGGACTAGATAATCTGAAAGGTGTTTCTAATTTATGGGGGAAGGGGAAGAAAAGATTGAGATTATCAAACTGCCATCCACTCTATTATCAATGTCCTTTTGGGAGACAAGGAGAGAAGACAACTGATTAGTATAAATAACTGAAAGTAGCTTGAAAAATATATATTTTTTTCATTTGTTGGTCCTGTAGGGACACTTAATAATGGCAGTCAGGTTCCCAAATCTCTACTATTCCTGGGAAACTCTGCCACAGGAAGCAACTTTACCTTTTCTTCCTCAGTGGACTTCCTTCTGGCTATCTTAGTAAAATCAAATTTTGTGGGAAACTGGGCTGTTCTCATATGCTGATGAATTTCACTACCTTACTAAACCTTCAATCACTTGGACAGGATTTTAGTCCTAATAGTTAGAGGATGGTGTTCTTTTTCCTTGCATTTGGTTTGAGGCTACTTTTCCTTGACTCATTCGAGCATTCATTCTGGGTCCAACCAGGAGATAGAACCTATATAGTGATGTATATAAGACAAGTTCAAGGAATTGTTAAACTATCATAAAAGGTAACTAAAAGATATAAGAAAACTCTAAATGATACTCTACAGCTGAGAGAGTACTCTAGGAAGGACAATTTGAAAGGGAAACTTCCTTCCAAAGACTTGGGTTCAGACCTCATGGGAGAAAGTGTGCCTGTGCTCATGCTCAAAGCTTCACTGCTGAGGGGTGACATCAGAGCTTTCACATTCCTCAGGAAATAGACTTCATTAAATAATTTTACCAAGTCATTAAATAAGCAAACAACAGTGAAGACAATCTCAAGAGAGGCTTCTATATCTAGAGTTGCTACAATATATTACCTAAAATGGGCGAAAAAAATCAGTAAAAAAATCATGAGTCACACAAAGAAACAGGAAAGTGTCACCTGTATACAGGAAACAAAGCAGGAACCAGAAACTGCCTGTGAAAGGGCCAAGATGAATTGTCTATTTCTCCCCTCAATTCTGTCAGCTTAAATATGACATTTGTCTGTAGGAATGTTAGAAGCTAGTGTGTATATGCCTTGCTGTACATTTGAAGGTAAATAGACAAGAGAACACAGACAAGGTATATCTAAGTTCTATTTTGGTTCTTAACGTCATCTTATACTAAAGAGAAGCTGGATTGGTACCTAGGGGCAAATCTTAAATACTCTGTTCATACTACCACCCACAGGTTTGGGGAGGGGGAAGAGATTTGTTCTATGCAAGGCAGTATCACTGGGTTCTAGTCTTTCTTTCATTGTCTCTGACTTCATTCTCTCAAACTTGTCTGAATATACCTGTTTTTCCTTTTTCTGTGATTTATAGTGAAAAACACACATACATTAGAATAGAATTTTGAGGAAATAAACTACATACAGCTGAGATATCTTTGTCTCTTTTTATATGATATAGTAGCTTCAAGCATGGTTCAAGTACTGAGCAATTTATATTGGCCAAGATAGTGTAATAGTTAAGACTCAGGAACCAAATGCTAGGGTTTACATCCCAAATCTGTCACTTTGTAGTTGTGTAATATTGGGCAAATTGTAAGTTTAATCTCTTTGTGCTTCAGTTACCCTCATTTATCAAGTGGGAAGAATGATATTATTTATCTCATAGTATTATTTTAAAGATTAAATTAATTTATATCTGCAAAGTGGTTAGAATAGTGCCTGGCACCGCTAGTACTCAAAAATTAGCAGTTTGATTACAAATGAAGAAATTCAACTCATAGTGGTTTAAGTTAAAATAGGATTTTTTTGGCTCTTGTGAAGAAAAGTCTAGGGTTGGTAGAGCTTCAAACAATATTACCAGGAATCTCTATCTTCGTTCCACTTTACTCTGTATAGGCTTCCTTCTCAGAGAGGTTCCACTTATATGGTGCAGGATGGCCACCAGCAATACCAGGCTTGCTGAGATCCTACACTGGGTTTAGTGAGCTCAGTGAACCAATAGTGTCTTTCCTAATAGTTCTAGTAAGGATCCCAAGAGTGTATCTCATGGCTGGGCTTGGGTCACATGTTCATTGTGAATGCTGTCAGTACAGCTGACCAGATTTGTGTTTTATCCCCAGCCCTGACAGTGGGATCAGCTCAATTTGAAACACCTGGGCTAAGAGTAGAGGAGGGGAAGTTTCCCAAAGGAAAGTTGAAGTGCTATTTCTAGATAAAGAGATGTGTGAATTCTAGACAAGCAAAAAAGTTTTTTGTCTGGAAAAATAAGGTTTTCTTGAGAGTCTGTATCTTTTCTAATGTTTAGGTCTTACACTTCCTTCCTTCTTGATAGAAACTATGCTAATTTCATGACTATCTTTATCCCCTAATCAAAAGGTATCACCATGACTTGTATTGTCTTAAATAACTTAGTTTTTTTTTTTTTTACTTTCCTGTTCTCTTACCTGTGATATAGAAGAAGCTTCTTGGATATTCTGATCACAAATTATTTTTCTGTTTTAGCCTTTTCTAGCAAGTTTTGTTCTCTGGTCCTAGATTTTAGTTCTCTTAACTCAATACCTCTTTTTCTATTTTTAGTCATCCATATTTCTACTAGACTTTGTATGTGTCATCACCACACCTTTATAGCTTTATAGTCTACCTGATAGCAAACTAGCCATTTCACCCTCTTAAAACATCTCCATCTTGGGGATATAGTATTCATATTTGCATATTAAATTACATTTAATTCTGCAACTCTGTTCCTATTTTGGAGCTTACTACTAAAAACACAGTCACATTTTGGG